TCCACTTGTTCATTCAACACATTTTATTGAGCACCAGTGCATGCTAAGATCTGGGGATATGACAGTGCTCAACATAGGCACAGTCTTTGCATTTATGTAAGTTAGTTTAACAGATTTATATATAATATATATTATATATGTATAATTTGTGATGCATGTCTTTGCATTTATGTCACTTAGTTTAACAGATTTATATATAATATGTATTATATATATATTTATAATTTGTGATGAGTGTCTTTGCATTTATGTCACTTAGTTTAACTGATTTATATATAATATATATTCTATATATTTATAATTTGTGATGAGTGTCTTTGCATTTATGTCACTTAGTTTAACAGACTTATATATAATATGTATTATATATATATTTGTAATTTGTGATGAGTGCTATGAAAGAAAAATACAGTGTATAATGACAATGAAAAATTGGGTATATACATTAAACTAGAGGTCAGGATGGTCTTTTGAGGAAGTGAGGTTTAAGCTAAAGTCTGAAAGATGTTGAATCTGTTAAGCAGACCCATATGGTGGCCAGAGCACTCCAGGCAGAAGGGGCAGGATGAGCAAAGGCCCTGAGCTTGGAAGAAGCTTGATGTGTCTGAAGAATTGAAAGAAGACAGTGTGCTGGAGTGTAATGGATAAGAGGATAGATGCCTGGGTGAGGCTGGAGGGTAGGAGGGGCCAGATCCTGCAAGCAAGACTGGCAGGGGCAGGGCTTGTGGGTAAGAGAAAGCAGAAAAGTGAACAGATGAGTGCAGGGAGGGAGGCAGTTTGAGGAATTAGATAGGAGAATCTGTGGGTGAGGGGACTTGGATGGAAGTAGACATCAGTTCTCAAAAAGTAACTGACCAGTATGGTTCCAGAATTGAACAACCATGTCAGAAACAACTTTTCCCTGGCCTGCTCTGTCCCAGCCAGAGGGACATGAACTGAGATACGTGGGTACCTCCTTCAGCAGCTGCAGCCTGGAGCATCTTCTGCCAGATGGGATGATGCACCTTCCACAGGAAGAGTTGGTTCCTTTTTTACTTAAGGTTCAACACCTCCAAACTCTAAGCATCCCACCACCACAAACTTCCATGTGCTCCACTTTCCCAAGGATCACTTTGGAGCTTACATCTTCCACCTGTGCCTAAGTGGAGCCCATCTCTCACCTTACAAATGTAGGATAAACACTGCTAATGGTTCTAAATGCTCCTCCTGCTCACTTGCCCTTTTTCACATTTCCTGTTTTAACTCTAAGAATAAAACCTGATTTTTAAATTGACCTTTTCTGCTCTCTCACTTTCTATCGCTTCCCCTTCAAAATCTGAATAATAGTTTTGTTTGTTTCAAAAACAAAACTTAATGCTTATTTACCCATTGGCTATGGTTTTCTCTCAACAGTTCTAAGCAGATCTATTCCCAGGGCTAGAGTGTGTCAAATAAAGGCCTTCAAAATGTCCTTTTATAATAGCTCTTGGATTTGAGGCAGTTCTAGTAACCATTTCCTATCCCTTAATCAAATACGACCAGTGTCCTTATAAAAAGGAGGAATTTGGGGATGGGTACAATGGTTCATGTCTGTAATCTTAGCACTTTGGGAGGCCAAGGCAGGAGGACAGCTTAAGGCCAGGAGTTCGGGACCAGTCTAGGCAACACAGCAAGACCCCATCTCTACAAAATATTAAAAAAAATTGCCAGGCACAGTCGTTTTCATCTGTAGTCTACTCAGAAGGCTGAGGTGAGAGGAGTGCTTGAGCCCAGGAGTTTGAGGGTTCAGAGAGCTATGATTGCACCAGTGCAATTCAACCTGGGTGACAGAGCAAGACCCTGACTCTTAAAAAGAAAAAAATATGTGTGTGTGTGTGTGTGTGTGTGTGTGTGTGTGTGTGTGTGCGTGTGTGTGTGTGGATTTGGACACAGACAAGCACACAAGAAAAATGCCAGGTGAAGATACGGCAGACATCAGGGTGGTGCTTCTGCAAGCCAAGGAATACCAAAGACGGCCAGAAAACCACCAGAAGTGAGAAGAAACACATGGAAGAGATCTTTCCTCGGTATCCTCAAAGGGAACCAATCCTGCTGACACCTTGATTTCAGACTTCTGACCTCCAGAACTGTGAGACAATACATTTTTGTTGTTTAAACCACCCAATCTGTAGAACTTTTTGCAGCAGCCACAGAAAGCTAATATAGATCCCTTGCTTTGCAACCTTCCAAACTGAACAGCACTAAATTAGATCCCGAATGACTAGTAGCAACATCACAGAAAGTCAAGGGTTAGAGACACATGCCAGAGCCAGATGCGTGTCTAATGTAAGAGGCACTGGGCTTGGGGGCAGATCAGAATGACGCTGAACGAGTGCTTGGGGCTCCTCCAAGTAGCAATGTTCTGGTTCTGCAGGATCCACACAGCTGACCACACTGGCTGGACTCTCAGGGTCAGGGACAGGACAGCAGCAAGCTGCTCCATCATCAGAGCCCATCATCGAGCCTGACCTGGGAGCACACTCAGGAAGATGGATGCTGCCAGCAGACCTGTGAGGAAGGTCCATGGTGACAGAGAGATGGAAGAGCTTGGGAAGGGCTGATGGCCCATCTCAGAGACTTTATATACCCCTGTATGATTCTCAGTATTTTCCCCTGTTAAAGGAATACTATTTCCAGCAAGCCTACCTAGAGGGAATTTGATCTAGGTAGTTGGGGAGATGGGTCAAATATTGATTGCTGGCCTTAGATCCTTGATACAAACTTCTCATGGGGGCAATGGATGGAGTTAAATAAGGTTTGCCTTTAATTGACCCTAGATATTCCAACTGTAGCACCTGGCATTGATTGGACACTAATAAGACAGAGGTCTCCTCCCCTTTGCCCTCTCTCCACATTCCCCAAGCATCCTTCTTATCTGATGTGGTGCCACATGGTGGTTGACTGGCATTCTGCATTATCTAGCTCTCTACCCCATTCCCAGGTATTACTGGAGCCCCGTTTCTTTGGGCTGAAGTGTTGGCTCTCACTAAACTGGAAAGCCGGGATGTAGATGCTTGGGCTCTCCAATACCTGACCTCTCAGAGCCATGCCTTGGGTTGGGCAGCTGGGCACTAGTACCCATCCATGCATTCCTGCCCTTTCACTTCCACATCTCACCTGCACACACACACCACCAAAGGAACATGGTAACCTGGAGACCAAGCAAGAGGAGACGCCCTTATGCTAAGGGGGAACAGAGAGATTTTCTCTCTAGTTCTTTAAATGCCACTGCAATTCTCCTTCACATAGGCAATGCAACTCTGGGGAAGCCAGGCATGGTGGGCTTCGATGCCCTTTGAGGCATCGAAATTGCCAGGAAAATATAGTTTTTGATATTCTCCCATTGTCCCCATTTGTACCTATTGACTGTCAGATCACATGTTCCCAATTTTCAGTTTAGAATATATGACCCAGAAAGGTACTTTTTCAAAGGGCTTACATCCCAGAGGATGTCCTTAGAATCCCACATACCCCACAGAGTGCAGAGTCCTCTTCCCGGTTTAGAGGCCAAAAGCTACCAGGAAGCCACAGAGTATATCATGGTGAAGGTTTCTCTGTGAGTTTCCTCCCCTTTCCGGTTGCTTGTTTAAGCTGCAGACACCCAGCTGTCCTGACTGCTGTCTAGGGCCCCGGTGCTACCCAATTGATGGTGTTCTTCTTTCTACGTTATCTGTTTTCTTCAGTGGAAAAGTCTGCCCAGGCCTGTGATTTGTGTCACATTTGTTTGCAGGCCATCAATTCTCCTTGCCTCACAGAGAGTGTTTTATGTCTATCCATCCAGTAGCCTGAGTTCCTGAGAGGGAACAAGTTAGGGACATGCCACCTTCTACGACTTATGTAAAATCAGGGTGACTTCTTATCACAGTGAGTCCTCAGTGCTTCTGCCTTCTCCTTCCTCCTGCATCTTCCTTTTTGTGTCTACATATTGAGCTGATTCTGATTTTCTTTAGGGTTATAAAAGTCATGTGTGGTAGGTCTTGGTGCATGTTTTGTCCAATAGCCATAGATATTTTTTTTTCTCTATCTCTCTGTCTCCCCTCCCCTGCCCATATGTGTGTGTATGTGGGTGGGTGCATGTGTGTATATATTTACATACATACACACATATAATTGGGTCCTGTCTTTGTTTATGGTTTATATCTATGGTTATTTTTCCTCTTATATTTATAATTTTTATCTCCTTGGAAGCAATCTATGAAATGACATATGCTATCAATAAATGCAGGAAACAGAATAGAACTGCCCTATTTTGGTTTTTGTGTATGGGGGGTTGTTGTTAAAAATATCAGTTCTATAACAAAAAGATAAACCTAAGTTCTAACCATTCAACCTTGAAAGAGGTTAAATGATAACAAGCCATTCATTGATTTTGGTTTTTTAAAAAAAGTAATAAACAGAAACATGTACCAATTGAAAAAGCCAGGCAATTCAATTATAATTAGGAAAACAAAAGTGATGAGCCTGAACAATGCTGCCTTAGTTTGGGGGATAAGTGTTGAAAATGCCAACAACATAACAATGCAGCATTTGTTTTCTCATTATTAAAGGCGCCAACACTAATCACCTCATTTTTGAAAGGCATATACCAATTGAATGAAGTACAAAACCCTGAAGATCGGATAGACATGCTTAAAGAAAAACACTCACGTAAACACAGATCCAAATACAATGAAAATATATAGAGGAATAGTATTCCAGTAAATTTATGTTCATCACTCCACTGATACCAGTCCACTCATCTATTCATCCATTCATCCATCTATTTAGTAAATATGTTTTGAGCTCTTACTATGTTTTAGGTATTATGCTGCTAATATATACCCTGGAATGTACGGTCTAGATGCAAATGATCCCAGTGAAAATAACAATTCTTTCTTGTTGTTTTCTGTCATTGTTGCCTAAATTTTCCCTGTGTGGCTAGAGAAAATATTACTGAAATGGCTAAAGAACAGCTGAAGACAGACAAGGACATGCCAACATACCTTTCGTAGCCAGACGAACACAGTTGATTTTGGTCTCCTGTGAACAACAAAAATGAAGTACCAGTTAATTAGTTGTAGTTATATAAAGTTGTTATATAAAGAAAATATACATATATATGCATATACATACATCCATATGACTTTTTAATTATAATTTTAAATTTGCCCTTTCCATTTTTTCCCCATTGAAATCACCTTTTAATTTCATTTCTTTATTTCTTCTCAGGCTAGGTGCATACATTATTTGGTCCACTTCCTGGCTTCTACCACCTCATAAACCTCTTCTCTAGGCAGAACTACTTTATAAACATATCAGATACTGTCTAGCACCCAACAACTTTAACAATAACACTTAGTGGGTACATTGTGGCATAAAGTGTGTTTCATTCAGTTGCATGAGTGAGCAAATGGAACAAGGGCATCCTTGGGAAACTTCATTACAAGCAGTCATACACGCACAGACTTGAAGGACACTTGACAATAGTCAAGTCTATATGTCAAATCAAAGACTCAATACCATTCACAATAGCTACAAAGAAAATAAAATACCCAGGAATATACTTAACCAAAGAAGTAAAAGATCTCTCAAAGAGAACTATGAAACACTGAGGAAGGAAATCACAGATGACATATACAAATGGAAAAACATATTATGGTCATGGATTGGTAGAATCAACAGTGTTAAAATGTTCACACTACCAAAAGTGATTTACAGATTCAATGCAATCCCCATCAAAATATCAACATCATATTTCACAAATCAAGAAAAAATAATTCTGCACTTTGTTTGGAATCAGATAAGAGCTCAATAGCCAAAGCAATTTTAAGCAAAAATAAAACATCTGGAGCCATCACATTATCAGACTTCAAGCTATACTACAAGGCTGTAGTAACCAAAACAGCATGGTATTTGCACAAAAATAGAGACGTAGACCAATGGAACAGAACAGAGAACCCAGATATAAAACCATCCTCATACAGCCATCTGATCTTTGAGAAAGCAGACAACAATACATACTGGGGAAAAGAAGCCCCATTTGATAAGTAGTGCTGGGAGAATTGGATAGCCACATGCATAAGAATGAAACAGGATCCAAATCTGTCACCACTCACAAAAATTAATTCAAGATGGATAAAAGACTTAAATGTAAGGCATGAAAGAGTAAGAATGCTAGAAGAAAATGTTGGAAAAACTCTTCTAGATATCAACCTACGCAAAGAATTTATAAAGAAGACCTCAAAGGAAATCACAAAAACAACAAAAACAAATAAATGGGGCCTGATAAAATTAAAAAGCTTCTTCACAGCCAAGGAAACTATCATGAGAGCAAACAGACAACCTACAGAATGGAAGAAAATATTCATGTTATACATCCGATAAAGGGCTGATAACCAGTATCTATATAGAACTCAGGAAAATGAGCAAGAAAAAAATCAAACAATCCTACCAAAAAGTGGGCAAAGGACATGAACAGAAACTTTTTAGAAGAAGATAGACTAATGGCTAACAAACATATAAAAAAATGCTCAACATCTCTAATCATCAGGGAAATGCAAATCAAAACCACAATGAGATATCACTTATCCCCAGTGAAAATGGGCTTTATCAAAAAGTCCCAAAACAATAAATGTTGGCGTGGATGCGGAGAGATAGGAACACTCCTACACTGCTGGTGGGACTGCAAACTAGTGCAACCTCTGTGGAAAGCAATATGGAGATACGTCAAAGAGATACAGGTAGAATTACCATTTGATCCAGCAATCCCATTACTGGGAATCTACCCAAAAGAACAAAAGACATTTTATAAAAAAGACATCTGTTCTCGAATGTTTATAGCAGCAGAATTCACAATTGCAAGGATGTGGAAACAACCCAAGTGCTCATCAATACATGAGGGGATTAGATTAATACAATGTGGTATATGTATACCATGGAGCTCTGCTCAGCCACAAACACAATGGTGATATAGCACCTCTTGCATTTTCCTGGATAGAGCTGGAACCCATTCTACTAAGTAAACTATCCCAAGAATGGAAAAACACCACATGTACTCACCATCACATTGGTATTAACTGATCAACACTTAAGTGCATATATAGTAATAACATTCATCAGGTGTTAGGTAGATGAGAGGGAGGAGAAGGGGATGGGTATATACACACGTAATAGGTGCGCTGTGTGCCGTGTGGGGGATGGACAAGCTTGAAGCTCTGACTCGGGTAAGGCAAGGGCAATATACATAACCTAAACATTTGTACCCCCATAATATGCTGAAATAAAAACATTTTAAAAAATTAAAAATAAAATAAAAAATATTTAAAAAGAAAATAAAGCTGTAGTTTGTCCATAATTTAGAATATTATTAATATGAAGCTGTTAAGGCCATGAAATAGCATGGAATGGTAGCATGTAAAGGCCATGAAATAGCATGGAATAATATGCATAAGAAAATATTAAATAAATAAAGCAAAGTATAACTTTTTATTGCAACTAACATCTAAATCTAAGCTTAATTAAAAAATAAATCCTGAAGGAAATATACTAAATCTTAGTAACTATTGTACAATTAATCTGATAAATACATGCAGACAAGTATACTAATCTTAAATACAGCTTAACACATTTTTCACCATGTAAACACACACCTATGGCCAGCACCCAACACCACCAGCACCTCAGAAGTCTCCTTCATGCCCCTTCTGGTCAATTCCTCCCCACACAGGTGTATTTTGTGGGAATGTTCTCTTAGAATGTGGTTACATTAAAGAGAATTCTGGGTAGCTGCAGTGGTTTATTCTACTGCCTTGTTTTGTTCATTGCATCATTTGAGAGAACTTTCTAACTCTCCTTACAATCATCTTTCCTTCTACAGTTTTGTGCATGAAAACAAGCCATTTTCTAATGCCACCCCTCTGCACTAGACATTTTAAAGTCTTCCTTATAATCTAGAGTGCATGTCTGATGATGCTTAACTCTTCCTGACTCTGACAAATGCAATGTGGACATGTTTGCTTTCTCCTAAGCTCCTGACAACTTGAATTCCATAACCCATTTGTCTTTGTTGGTTAGACTTAGGCACAGAATAACAAAGCCCTGAGTCACTCTCTTGACCTTCTGTGTGATTGGACTGTCAGCAAATGAGGAATACACTAGACACCCGAACTCCATCATATGAGACGTCTGGCCAGTGTGCAGGTGTTCAAGTCCCCAAACAGTTCAATAAACAAGAAATGAGTACTTTCTTTGCGTTCATATTGTATGAGGCTTTGGGGAAAAAAAACAATTAGTATATTTCCTGTTCTATCTCTACTATACCCTACTTCTAGGTCTGTCATATATGCTGGGACAGGACAATACAATTTCATTTCTCCATTACTTTGACGTTACTCATGTTTCACCTCTCATTCAAGACTAATATCTGCACACAGGTATATATCACCTTGGGGTAGAACCTAGTATCCTTACTGTTATGCTTCTGTTGAGAATTGCTTCTAATCAAGGCTTTGCCAGTGCTATACAATATTGAGTAAATCTCTGTCACTCTCTGTGGCTCAATTTCCCTATCAATCAAATGACAGAGAACGGGGTAGAAAAGGGCACTTTGGTGTAGTAGGCAGCCACTGTAAGGTTGCTTCAAGTCCTCAAATGCTGAATATGGTTTCAGCTACTGGCAATATTCCCATTTTTTCAATATTTTCTTTTTGATTCTTGATACGACTCCATACTACCTCACCCCATGCAAATATTTGTTGTTGTTGTTTTTCGTAAGCTATTACCTACCTTATGTCCCAGAATGCTTCACATCTGGATCTGCTTATAATCTCCATTTTTAGACTAGGCCAAGTCTGACTCATCAACAATCCATCCACCCATCCATCCATCCATCCATCCATCCTTCAATATTTTACTGAGATCACAGGATGCCTGTCTGGTTGAAGACTGCAGAGTGTAAGTGTCCAGGGTATCACATTTTCAGTAGCTACTGTTTATCCTCCAGAAAAATTTAGGTTAAGTTGCACAGCCAACCTGATGAAGAAGCCCTAGGTATATGAGCAATACCTGCACTTCCTACTCTACTTCCCCATTAAACACCTCATTTAATAGGATAGAGATTTTACCCTGACCCCATGGTTTTCAAATAGTTTCCCCGGTTACTCTAACTTGTGCCTTTGTCTTCTCTAAGACTGAACTTCCACAGTTAATATGATGAGATTTAGCCCTGGCCCTAGAATCTTTGCACATTTGTTTTTTAAATTACTTTGGCTCATGCCTTAATTTTCCTCTAAGATTGGGCTGGGAACCCCTGATAACCTACCTAATTCATGTATTCATTCATTCAATCAGTATATATTTATTGAATGATGACTATGCACCAGACATTGTGCTGGGTACTAGGGTTCTAAGCATGAGCAAAGTAGACATGGTTCTCATGAGTTTCACATTTCCTTTTCTAGCATTGG